CTCTTGAATGAAATGTTCAGGCTGAGTTATAGAAGCCTTCGAACGACCACAACATATCGCCCTCAGAGCAATGGTTTAACAGAAAGGCTAAACAAAACGCTAGCCGACATGACCTCTTTGTACGTGGATGTGCACCGCAAAGTTAGGGATGACATCCTGCCGTACGTAGCAATTGCGTACAACACTAAGACACAGGAAGCTACACGCTTCACGCCATTTCGGCTCGTTTATGGTTGAGATATCAGAACTATGCTAGACGCCAAAATTCCGAATGAGGACCTCGACAAGCTCGATAAATTAGCCCCCTTCATCAATGAGTACATTCAGCGAGCTGACGAAGCACGTGAACTGACCCGTGTGCACATCAAAACACAAGAGTGTGCAGACGCACGGCGGTACAACATCCACCATCGTGAAATGAACTATGAACCTGGTGACAAAGTTTGGGTTTGCACATCTATTATGCGGTGAGGTAGCAGCAAGAAACTGTAGAGGAAGTACTTTGGAGCTTACAAAGTACTCAAACGTGTGAGCGAGATGAACTACGAAGTGGTTCTGTACAGAGGCTCGCCATCGTCCCAGCGCAGGTTACCACGCCCAGAGACTGTACACGTCATGCGCATAAAGCTATACTTCCCGTGGTGATGCGAATTTTCTTCGTGTGCCAGTGAATTATTCGTGCGAACTATGAATGTCATTTATTTCCGATTGCCGACCCCAGACCGCATTTTCTCTCACGTGCTAGTTTGTTTATTGCTTGTTTATGTTGCTTTCTTCGACCCACTACTTTGTATGCTTTTTTTGGTGATGGGGACGGTGCTCTCTTGAGAGGGGCAGTAGTGCCACCTGGTGTTCTGTGCCAGTGAAAAGCGAATCAGTTCAGTGCCAGTGAACGAAGAAGACGAAGACGAGCTACCCGTGCATGCCGCATACGTCCTTCTTCGTGTCTGACATTTTTTCTACAATCGCGTCTTCTAGTAGTACGTTCGAGCCCCTAGCATGTCACAAAAGAAATCGATGCAAAAGGCAACCGTCAAAAAAAAAAAACACCCGATCATGAGGATTCGAACGGGGAATCTTCGGATGCCCAACTGAACACACTAATCGCTGCGCCATGCTGACACGTGTATTGTTTGATGTAAAATGAATAGTTAGCTGAATAACTGACCGCTTAACTTCAGTTTTGTTTGTCGTGTACTCGAGATAGCTACAATTTACGCATTTATAACAGCAGCTGCCTGTAACGACTGCTACTGCGTTAATGGAAACAGCGCTATGTTTTTGTTACAATTCACAGCCGCAAACTTAAAATAAAGTGGTCGAAGGAGCAGGTACAGTTTACCAGCAGTTACTGTCAAGTTCAAAATCCGTTTATTGCTCGCTAAAAAAGGGTGAAATCTGCACTGGTTCTATGACGCCTCTGGGCTCATTCGATAGATATGCCTACACAATTGATGGAGTATTGTGAAATTGCTCGCGCAACGTACAGCTATGTCGGGCCAGCGCACTGCATTAGCTCTATCGTTAGCAAAAACTACGTAAAAGCTTACCCAAAACGTATGCAGTGCGCCGGAAACACTAAGATATATCGGTTCAGTAAGCATACAAACTGAGCAGTCTGTGTTCTCGCACAAGAGCCAGAGAAGTGCTAGTGAGTGCGACCGGCGGTTCTCGGTGAGTGTACCCTTGCTGAAAGTTCTGGAACCGCATCGCATCGATGCTTGTCCCTTTTTGCGCGGATGCCATACACAATAAAAAAGGCTTTATTTAGGTGCTGTATTCTCATTCATACTCGTAATAATCGTGCACGCGAACCCAGAAGCACTGATGACACTTGTACAAACTCGGTTGGTAGGCCTATCTTTCGGGGGAAATGATGGTGGTATAGAATGAAGGGTGGAAGTCACACTCACTGGGGCTCGTCTTGACGCATCTCGATGGTAAAAGTTTGTGAATTTTAGCGTCGCACGCATTTTCTTAACTTAAAAGTAGGATTCAAGTAGTTGAGTGTGCAAGAATCGCCAAAGTTACGTTTTTAGCGTGCCGACAAAATGACCGCTGTATTCTCGTCTACCGTTGAAAGGGGCAAGTTCGAACTAGCACTCATTTATTTCTCGACAACTGCACGGCGACGTAGCTGCTGTTGCTGCTCACAGTGATCCCTCTTGTTTTTTGAACATGACAACAAAGCAGCACATCGTACGCCTGTCAACTGTGCATGGCATTCTACCCTCCACAAAAACTACACGCGCATATCATACAGAATTAAGTACGGGCACGAAATGTAAACATTCGCGGCCAAATTATACGCTCCACAAAATCTGAAGCGTTGTTGATATCGCAGATATAAAAAAGAAGTCACAGCTGTGCTGCAACGGCGAAGCAATAAACGCGATAGCAATAAATATGAAGGTCACGCACACAATCACAAGCAGATCAAAACTTGTCCAGGGATTGTCATTCACAAATTACGCACAAAACGCACTCCTAGGTACAGATGAACGCAAATAAGCATCTCAGTCGTTACTTTGCTCTGTCTGAAAAGCGCGCCCTTTTAGCAAACGAAGGCTGTGCAACGATTGATGTGACCTTTGTGCACCCGGTAACTACAACAGAATCGTTCTGGCGAAACCTAAAGACTAGCCGAGAAGTAACTTAGAAGTGTGGCAGCTTGGGCTAGTTGGTATGGCATGACGATAGTTATAGCGCGAGAACAAAACGACGACACAGAGACAAGAAGGACAGCACTCGTGTCTTTCGTGTCCTTCTTGTCTCTGTGTCGTCGTTTTGTTCTCGCGCTATAACTATCGACTAGCCGAGACGTACGATCCTATCCACTGCAAAATAAGGTCACGCGATCAAGCGTACACCCCCTCATTTTCCACGCAGGCCAAAGTACGCATGAGAGACGAGAGCCACCGCGCGCTCACTGCGCCATCTTTCCGATAACGCTGAAAACACAATAGCTTCCGACCCCTCCCCCGAGATGCCCGGCAACAGCGGTAAGTGGTAGATATATAAAGCTGGCCGTTTAAATGTTCAAAGGGGCAAGGGGGTACTTCTCGGTGGTTCAGTGGTTGACGTCACGCATTCATGACGGGAAGGTCCCATATTGAATTCCGCACGCCGGAGTCTTTTTTTTTCTGGAATTTTTTCTTTCTTGCCTTTTCCTTTATATAGATACGTATGCATATATGATGCATGAAATCTAGCCGAAAGTGTCCATATATCGCAATAAAACGTGTTAGAAGGTGTAATGACCGGCGTTGGTTTCCTTCGACCATTAACGGCATTTCTCTGTGCGCTTCAGACAAAAACACTACAAACAATTGATTTCGCATACTGCCATGAGCTTTCTTAATATAGTAAACAGTCCGACAGAATCCCGTCTGGTCGGGGACAAACATAGTGCAAAATAACAAAAACAAAAACGCCGACCAAGGTGAAATACACAAAAATTCAAAAGACGTTTCGGCTCCCCACACGGGAGCCTTGTTCACAGTTGTTCACTAGATGGCGTCAGTGTAATTAGGTGTGTGCAATAGGACGGGCGACGGATGTACGGAAGCGTTGACAGATGCACAGACGAATGCTCGGACGGCAACATGGATGGAAGCACTAATGAAAGCATGGACGTATGGACGGACTAATGCATGAACGGATGCACGGACGGACCGACGAACGCACGGCCGAACGAAAGCACAGAGGGACAGAAGGACGCACAGACGCATGCTTCGCATCCTTCATCATTATTCACTCCATTAATAGGATGTAATAATTTTTTGCTCTCGCCATCATCAGCCATTATAGTCACTACGGCTTCCTCCATGTTCTGTATATTTCCATCATATCCAACAAAGATCCACTACAACTCAAGATTTTCAATAGAGTGGCCACCCCGTATATGTAGGCATGGATCGCACGTACGGAATTAGGTCAAGGGAATCTGCACTTGGCTTTCGTTTGATGAGGTCCAGCGTCAACGTCAGTGCCAGTGTATGTGTAAGCGCTCGCTGCTTGGCATCCACACATGGTTCCCTTTAGCGGGAGATAGTCCATGTTTTTGGCAAAGCCGCCAGGTCGGTTCTGCAAGGTTGCCAAGTTTAGCCAAAAGTCGCTAAACTATGGTGATGATACTTACCATGGTAGTAATTACAGACACACCTTTGACGAGTTTTTGCTGTCTCTTTTTCGCCATGGTCGGTATAAAGTTCATGATAAAATCCCCTCTCAATGTATTCTGCCCGAAAATGTAAACGCCCGAGTGATGACGACGAATGTGGGTGAAGTGTAGAAGAAATTAGCCTGGTCATCTCTGTCGTTTGGTGGGCGAATGGGATAACATACTGTACGTGCGAGGCCTGCCGTTGATTGCTCCTCAATCAGAGAGGAAACGCCTCGGCTGTCTTGGAGCATGAAAACACTCTGGGGGAGGAGGGGGGGTTGTGTCGCTCGAGCAGCAACTGTGAAATTAGATTATAAGGGCATGATCGCTGGCGCACTTGCTATCTTGACAAAATGAGCAAACGGCTCGTACATCTTTCTACGTGCTATTATCTCGTATCTTCACCTTGAAACGAGAGACAGCGCGAAAAACACTGTTATCTCGTGAACGGTCATATTGCCGCATTCTCTTACGCCAGTGTTTTGTAGAATGACGTCAAATCGAATGCAGAAGAGAAGGCTGTATGTATTACGTCATATAGCAACACTGCCTGTAGTAATTGCATTCATCGCTTCAGCGTTGCGTAGAAACTGTGACGCTTTTTTGTATACATCTTTGAGACAAGCTCATCGAAGCAGCACGTAACAACTTTCCCAGTAAAAAGACTGCGCATGCAAATACTGGCACCCCAAAGATGAAAAGACTTTGCGTTTGTGGGGTTCTGATTGCTTTCTTGTGTCTACGTTTCACGCCCACTTTTTATTTTCATGCCCACTAACGAGCTCAGCTTTGGGTGATTTGAAGTTTCCCGTGGTAATGAGACCTGTCTGTGCAGACCAAGCGGACCTGGTGATTGACGAAGATGAGGTGCAGCGGTCAGCCTACCTGGAGGACAGGCAGCTACTGTACTTGCAGTGTGCAATGGAAGAGCACTGCGTCTCCACTTCCGCCTACGCGCTCAAGGCAGACCCCGGTGAGATGGCGGATCTCAAAGACGTCCGTCTCACAACGTCCAAGGATTTACTGAACACGCTGCCATAACTCACGCATTTCCCTGGCCCTGCAGTTCTTTGTTGCGGCAATTGATGAGCATTATAGTGTGACCCTGTTTGTAAACCCTGCAACCCCAGTTTCATAAAAACACTTCTTGAAGTGTTTATAATATGATGGCCAAGGCAGATCGTTCAACTCGATGCCATACGGCAAGCTTTTTTTGCAAGCTTCACGAGAGATATCTAATATGCACGCACGCCGAGGAGGTTTGAGCTCACTTCGCCCGCGCCTAAAGCAGCGCTTTAGGAAGACATAGCATTTGTCTATGTAGCAACCATGTGCACTTCAGTACACTACAGCCCTGACAAACCTCGAACAGAGAAGACAGCTGTGCAAGGAAGGGAAAAGTGTATTTATCAAAAATACCAAATCAAACTGGGACGCGTCCAATAACGGATCATTGATATCCTGCCTACTCAGTGATACAAGGGATTTTTTTATTTTTTGAAGCATAATTTATAGCAGGAAGTGTACTCATTTGGTGCAGCCACGAGTGCTTTCGGAGTGGAAAAATGCTATGCTTGAGCATTTTGTGTTTCAGGGAGGATCTACGAAATTTGCAATACTATAATTGGAGTTCAAATCATTGTCAAAGCACCTTATAAGTACTAATATTTATTATCAAATATTTCAACAGATTACAACCAATGCGAATTTAAGGCACACTGATAAAAATGTGGCTGGTTGTCTAAAAATGCTGTGAAACAAGCTTTATACTTAAACTACTAGTATTTGTGGAAGACATCAAACCATACCGGCAAAGCGGAGCGCCAGAATTTTAAATAACCATGGCCCAATATAACTGTTGCCGAATAAGCAGTATAAAATTGGTTTGCGATAAAATCAATCCTGCCAAGTTTCCCATTTCACCATACTAGCATACATATCTAGCTAAAACAGCTAAATGAGCTCTATGCTTAATGTGTTTGCTAGTTCTTATAGACGGTTTCGCCAGAACCTGTCGGTCTCTAGCAACATTGTGCGTTCACCGGAAAATCACTCCTGAAAACTTCTGGTTTAGCATGTTCTTGCGTGGTTTTAGCATTTGTTGCTGGCCACGGCTGCTTGTGTTCAGATGTGTTGTGCAGATAAAATTATTTGGTGAAGTGCTGGCAACTCGAGCACAGCTGTGTCAAGTCAGTATGGAGTCTGCATGACTGAATCAATTTTATATGCTAGTCAAAACGTTGATTTTTGAGCGATGACGATAGAAAAAGCACCTGCATTGCAGTGATCACGCGAAAAAACTGGATTCACGCTAAGAGCAGATAGGTTTGTTCTGCCCACTTCATCAAATGCAATGTAAAGCTCAGCGCAGACTAATGGCACAGAGGTGATACTCTGACGTTAGGCCCCCTTTTGCCGGGAACACACCGGTCGCTGTCCTCTTCCAACCGTGGCAAACAAGTGTACTGACGCCTGAAATGGGTAGCAAAACGTGAAAGCTAACACTGAAAATTCATCACGAAGCTGTTCTTTTTATAGTTTGAGCGATATCAATGATATGTACTATCTACTCAGCTCAGGACACAAAGTAGCAGCACTTAACATGAATCGCAGTACAACAAGTACGTCGTGGCGTCCGCGTTTCATTGTCGTTACATTTGATTTTTTAAGTGATGCCATCGAGTGGGCTTTCATCTGTGCGAGGAAATATGACTCATCGCCTGTCTTTCTGTCACTAATGAACATCGCCGCATTCAAGCTAATTTATATTTTGGTTATGAACATAGACTGTATATCTTGGTTGGTTCGACTTTAAAGTTTAATTCATGAATAGCATACTCACGAGTAAACCATAATAGTTCGTGTGACCCTGCAGCCACACGTCAGCTTGCGAGCGATTCCGATCACCGCTGATCTCTTCAAAAAGTGTGGTGTGACACAAACGCAGAAATGAGCGTTTTATCCTGAGGTTGCGTGCTTAGACGAAAACACAAATATGTATGAGCGTTTTATCCTGAGGTTGCGTGCTTAGACGAAAACACAAATATGTTCGGGGTTCAACAGGAAGAAGGTTTAAACTTCCAGTCGAAATGCTGAATTGAACAACTTCGCTATGAATCAAGCGAATCTTCTCCTGCATGTCGACGGTGTGGGTGCGCTTTGAAGCCGCGGACGGGGAAAATACAGGTGTGGGCTGCCGATTCCCGGTCTGCGTCTTCAAAGCGCAGCCACATCGTCGGTATGCAGAACCAACTGGCTCAATTAAGTTCGCTGACAAACGTCTCCTGCAATTTGTGCAATTTCTGTTTGTATAGGCGCGGCCCCTCTAGGAGCAGGCCACACGAAGCAGGGGGCCGCGCTCATCGGAACGCAACGACGTATAATTTGCAAGGCGCCCGTCGGCCACGCTAGCCGTGTGCTACGTCGAGCCCCTTCATGTAGCTGCTAGACGTTGCTATACGTTGCTGGTGTACAACGTGGAAAATGTCTTTAAATTTTAATAAGTGCATTAGCCTTTGTTTCTCAAAGAAGACAAAGAAGATCGAATTTAGATGTTGTATAAATGGTGTGCCAGTTACCACGAAGACAGCTTACAAATACCTCGGTGTGTTCTTTTCTTCTGACTGTTCATGGAATGTACATGTTGATTATGTTGTCGCGAAAGCTGCGAGGGTGTTAAATTTTATTCAGCGTAACTTACGATGTTCGCATCAGCGACTTAAAGAATGTGCGTTTTTGACGTGTGTACGACCAGTCTTAGAGTACGACTGCGCTGTGTGGGATCCGGCGCAGGTATATCTTAGTGATAAGATAGAAAAAATACAGAACAGGGCGGCAAGGTTCGTCCTGGGACGGTATCAATGGCGTGAAAGCTCTACCGCTATGAAACAAGAATTGAATTGGGAGCTGCTTTCATCGCGTAGAAGAAAATTGCGATTAAAACTTTTATATCTAATATTTAATAATAAAACTGGAATCAATAAGGATATGAATTTACAGACGCCGTATTATTTGTCAAATCGAATTGATCATCCTTTTAAACTGAGGGAATACCGTCCCAGGACTGAAATTTTAGCAAATTCTTTTTTTGTCAGAACAATACATGAGTGGAATGGGCTCACAAGTGTACAAGTGTCTGCTGTAAATGAAAATTTGTTTTTTTCGAATCTGTAACCCCCCTGCTATAACGCCTTCGGGCGCTGCAGGTATACTTCGAATAAAGAATAAAGAATAAACACATCTCAGGAAATGCGCTAGAAATTAATAGAGCAGCCAACTCAAACACGTCACGAAAACACCACTGGGAACTTGACAAAGCATTGCCAGAAGTGCCGCACCGGAAGTCTGCTGGGGTGTCCCGAGCCTTGCTACCCTACTTGCCTTCCAAAGCACTGTCACAATGCAGGTTGGCTGTACGAGAGTCGGCGACTGCTTCGCTTCACGGTTCGCGTGGCTAACGTGGGCACAGCTGAGTTCATCCCTTTCTTGCCCAAGCACGCCTGGATCTGGCACTCCTGCCATATGTGAGCAGCTTGTTACCCTCTCTCTGTCGCGCTGTTTTAGTCAGCGCCATTTATGCAACTTAATCCTGAATCCGGATGCTAGAGACACGTACATGTGATAACTGCACTGGCGTTTATTATAAACACTACAGGATCAAACGACGCATTATGCGGGCTTAACCTTTAATTTCTATTGATATTGGATTGTATGTGACTGTTATTCAAGGCTCATTCTTCCTTTTTTCACACGCAGCGGCCAGTAGTTTTTTATACGCATATCGTTGTTACTCTTTAGTAATATTATCTGTGATTTTACGTCCCAAAATCGCCATATATGATTATCAGAGACGGCATAGTAGAGTGTTACGGAAGTTTCGACTACATTCGGTTCTTTAACGTGCACTGTTAACACACAGTGCACGGGTGTTTACCACTTCGCCTCCATCGAAATATGACCGCCACCGCTACAATTGAACCCGGCACCTTTGTGTGGATAGACGGCGTATCAACACCTCTCTGCATTTTGCTTAGTTGTGCGCATATCGCGGCCTTGCCAAACATATCGACTACACTGACGCCAAAAGGAAAGTTTATGTAGCTCTACGTAACCTCGCACGCTAAAGAACATACGTCAGTTGTAAGAAAACATAGTGCACGTGACGCTGTGTCCCGTTGCCTTCCTTCTCTCGTATAGCCGTGCTTTTTTTACAGTGAAACGATAATACGCATAGCATAAGTAGAGACTGTCGACATATACCCGGGGTACGAAAACTCCTTATACTTCCCATGTATTCGCTCTGGGCAGTGGCAGGGGTGCTTTCACCACTGGCGGTTGCCAGGAGTCCTACTAGAAAGAAATCACAAACATAGATTTCTTTATTACGTCACTGATGAGGTCCCCGGATAGAGAGAAAAAACGAAAATCAGGCGGTGGAGGGTTGCCACGCAAGCCCTCCTTTCCCACTTCGCACGAAAAAAAAAATGCATTCGTGCCTTCTTTCAGGTCCGCTTGCCGCTTGGGCAATGTGTACATAGACTTTTGTTAATATTTTTTAAATTTTGTTCGTGTTTTTTGAATAAGTGAAAGTTAAGCTGACTGATTTCCCGGTAAGACGAAACTCGATCGACAAAAATTAAACGCATTTTTATTGCATGCTTTGTATAGAAAAAACAGATAAATTCATGTAGTTGGAAAGTGCCAATGTATAAACGTACGGCTTTAATTTACAACTGACATATTGAGATATTGAGCAAACGTTGTGCCCAGAATATCCGAACCAATGCACAAATTATCAAAAATTGCGAGTAAGACGCGTCGTATTCGAAGCAATCACGCTTGTTATGACGGGGCGCATTGTTTTCTTACAGAACATGAATGCCAAACGAGTCTGAAATTCAAAAAAACGGAGAGACGTTAACGATCAGAAGTTTTTCGAGAAAGAACGCTGCGAGAAACAGTGTTTCGGCAGGTAGACTTATCTTCGTGAGGGCAACCACATTGCCTTGATGAGGAAAAGTTCACTTGTCCGAACGTTGGCTCCTTCGACATCCTCTGTAACAATTTGTAAAAGCATTTAGTCAACCACGTGTATTTGAGTAGAAATAAAAACTCGGCAATTTTTAAACCATGCCTACAAAAATTCCATGAGCAGAAAGCAGCCTCTAAATACTGGACATAATTTGAACTACATGCCAAAACCAAAGAAACTTAAACTATGCAACCAAGCCAACTCGAATCCAACCCCTTTACTAAACGCGTTTTCACAACAAGAGCTTGGCTGCCGTCTTCACCAATTAGAAAGCGACACTGCATTTCTGTCAGTACATTCAGGCTTGGAAAGAACCGTGTTTACTCATATGTACCCATGCCAAATCAATATTGGCTCGAATAATGGGTCTAATTTCTTATGCTCACCTGTTGCCTTTGGAAAATGCTGAAAAACCATCAAGGCACTAGAAATCTTTGGGTTAGCACTACGCAGAGCCACGGAATACACGTGTTGTCAAATTAGGCAATCTTCGACGAATGCATGGTTAACATGTTGGGTGTAGCTCATTGCGGCTTTCGTTTTCTGCCGGCATAACTTGCTCTCTTTATTTTTCCTGTAGTTGACATGCCAACTGAGCGAGATAACTGAGCGCGATCTAACTTCTAATATCGCTGAGTGAGGGGCGAGAAGGAGTGGAGGCAAACGCAAACTCAAGTCAATCACTGTCCGTGCTTCGCCTGAAAAAATCTCCCAAAATAATCAATAAGAAAATACAAAAAGAGAAGTTCTTTACAGTGGTATTGATTTATTTATTGTAAAAACTTCTTAAAGCCAGTAAATGCGAACAGTAACATCAACTTCACTACGTTAAAAATGACCTTGGGATGCCTGGCAACAACTACGAGCATGCATGTTCTTTGAAACCAAAACTAGCGCTCAATTTCCGGGGCCTGCTATACCTCCGAAGTCGATCATGTAATTTGGTTACTTTGTTTTAAAGCGGATAGCCTACAACGCAACTAAGATTGATGTTTCCCCGACATGACGACTACCAGCGTCCTTTTTCGACAAAGTTATGAGTACGGACATGGCGTTGCGACTGCCATGCTGAATTCCCGAGTTCGATTTAACTCGAACACTCTTTGTCCATCTGATTATTTGCTTAATGTCGACGGTTCTCCCGGCTGCGGCAGCTACATTTTCGATGGAGGCTAAAATGCTGTAGGCCCGTGTGCTCAGATTTGGGTGCGTGTTAAAGAACCCCAGGTGGTGAAAATTTCGAGAGCCCTCCACTACGGCTTCTCCCGTAATCATATGGTGGTTTTGTGACATTAAACCCCGCATATCAATCAATGACGACTCTTCCAACACAGGCACTACACCTCCCGCGACACAGGCTCCATAACGCTATCTCGTTAATAGCACTGTCACACGAGAACCCGCGAACTCTGTTCAACTCCCTCGTCTTTACGACCAGGCAGATGCGGTCCGTGTCACACGGTGACCTTGCGCAAACGAAGATAAACGGAGCATTTCGCAAAAAAAAAAAAAAAAAATGTTCGGTGAGCTCCCTTTGTGGCGGAACAAGGTACTCTCGTCCCCGGTAGTCTGCAGGTCAGAAAAAAACTTTTGAGCAATAAATTGCCTAATTGAAAACAGCAATACATTTTGCAATATTAAATGTTTTTTGTAGACAAAGTATGCGCATGCGCGGCCTCCATAGCAGCAAGTTTGCCTCCCAAGTTAATCAAAAGTACATTGTCTTCCTTCATAAGGGTAGCGCTATAGGTGGTCTTCAGCGATACGGCAATGGGGGCTGTAGGGAGAGCGGCCTGTAGCCCACCGCGCACCGTAATTCATAAATATGAAGACTTGTCGATTCCTTGTGGCAAGTTATAGCGATTGCCTGCATCCATTCAGGAAGACTATATGTGCATGTAAGTTGGTATGGCTACAGCGGCATCGCTGCCTTTAAATCTTGTGTGTTTTGCGAAGTATTAGTTATTTTTGTATCTATCTCCCGATCTGTGTATCTACCTGCTTCATTATTTCAGGACAATTTGCAGTATTACATGGCAACTCCCCTTACAGATGTGTCAACCAGAGCACCAATAAAACATCCTAAAAATTATACAAAACGGTATATTTGTCAAAGCGAATTTCATGCAGAGAGGTTAATTTCGTGCGTACTTTATTAAGCTCCACATGGCTCCAGGGTTTCTTATTTGTGCACTAAATTTCATGGTTCGCATATATTGGAGCACCAATAAAGTATATAATTTGAGTGCTTAATTTGTAACGAGTATTATTACATTTCTGTCAAGTGTCGTCAATTGTTGCCGCAGAGATTCGTTGTCTCCTGCACAGAGCTATAGTTATACAACGCAAGTCAATAATAGTCTGTCTTTGCTAGCGCTAGTGACAGTCGCCTTCCGTAAATATCATTCAAGCATCATCCTAATAAAAGGAGACCTTGCAGTAATGTCATTGTATCAATGCCGCGTAATCACCTTTTTGTGTTTATTTGATAGGTACACCCACAGTAATTATTTTCACTGTTTTTCACTTCATATCCTTCTGCGCACATCTAGACGCATTCAGAACGCACGTAGTTTCATGCTCATTCATGGTCACACAATGGCATTTAACTCATCACCATTACCTCAAGCCACAGCACATTTGAACAGCCTTCCAGATGACACTGTTTCCATCTCCAACCATGAATACTTTCGTGAGAACCTGATTTCGTTGCGTTTTTCTCTTGTATAATTTTGTTCACCTGGCTGTCTATCATTCATTTGGTTTTTGTTTGTTTCATTGTTCTTTTTACCCTTTGTTTATATTGTTTTGCAATATATTAGCTGATTGCCCCCCCCCCCCCCCCCCCCGTTATTCAATGTCCTTTAATGGGCCTGTAGGGCATTTTGAATAAATAAATAAATATGAATAATACGGATCAGCGTAAAAAATACGAACAAACACCGAAGCACACAAGTACGCATCCACGCACGAAGGCTTTGCTGCAACGTGATGCAAGCGCACACAGAGCTCGTCACAAGCACCAACCACCGAGCGCCTCTCATCAAAGCGCTAAGGGGCACCTAGGGCTACCCTTTTGTAGCAACGCAGCGCAAATCTAAGGACACTAGGAAGCAACGCTTGCCTTCTAGAAAGACCATGCACGTACAAAGAATCGCACTACTTTTCTGTGGGCACAATCCACAGGCAAGCGGCTGCGTGTTCGGCTTTCCGAATTATTCCGAGAGTGCCTGTGCGTGAGAGCAATGCCACTTTATTCATGATACATTAATTCTGTTCGACATGCTCTCATATACTCCTATGCCCAATTTGTTATGCGCCAACTTTGGTAGTTTATCACTAGATTGCCCAGACAAATAGATAGATCGATAGATAGATGGATAGATAGATGGATAGATTGATAGATAGATAGATAGATAGATAAATAGATAGATAGATAGATAGATAGATAGATAGATAGATAGATCTCAAGGAACCTTTAATTCACAAAGAATTCCTTCACATTCAGAAAACCACACTATACCTACAAAGTGACTGATATTGTAGGACCTTGCTCCGAAGTGCACGGGTCTTTCTTGGCCAAACCGATTTCGTAGGAAGGACTATTAAAGAGCCGGCGCATGATGCGTACGTTGAAGGCAGCGCTGTTGGGCACGTTCTGCGGCCGACAGTGTTGGCCACTTCGATAGGCACGTTAACTACCTGCCCCTTTATGCCGTACTGGTCGCTGCCATGAGTCAAATGCTTAACTCTAATAAACGGCAGACTTGGAGAAATCAGGTGTTCTTTCATGGCTTTACCTGTCGAGGTTGTTTTTAGACGCGAAGCATTGCTTGCTCGGTCTTATGTCCCATGGCGTCGATGGCGTTCGCCCTACATATGCGTAGCTTTCCTCCTTCCCTTTCTCTAACAGCTGAGCTGTACTTCTCTCCCACCCTGCTTGTGCTTGCTCCCTCCTCTCTCTCCTAGGCTCTCCTACGCTGCTCCTCTTTCGCCTCGCAACACCTTTTTAGTTATATACAGATTCTAGTGGAAAAACTCTCCATAGGGCCTGTGCATTAAAACCTATAAACACTCTTGTGCCGCCCAAGCGGAACGACACTCGGCTTTCGGGTGATGTGCACACTCGCCATTGCATAAACTCTGGCATTTATTTTCTGCTTTGTAGATCTCTGTTGCACCTGAGTAAGAGACTGTCACATAAAATCGAGTTGTTGGCTCATGGCAACAAGAAGTACGGACGACGAGGTGCAAGCAAACTGGCGCAATAGATCGCACAACACACGTCCCCGGTCCCAGATCTACAAGGATGGGGGCGCCATCTTATAATAAGCAAAGTTCAAAATGCTTTATCCCGTGCGCGCAATTTATAATCAATAACGTTTGTATCTTTTGTATAAGTATTTCATATAAAGATCCAAACAATTTAGATTTGTTTACAATACGTAAACACACTTGTGTATAAATTACACAGAGAATTTTAGTGCTTTATAGTGATAAATTCAGCGCTTCTTTCAAGTTTTGTAATGACAATGACAACGTTCCAAGATGTCAGCGCTTTGGTGGTTAGAGCTTCTCTGGCCCAGCTTTTACTATAGAGTCTGTAAATGAACTCAATGGCAACACTAACGCAGGGATCACTTGCTAACCTACAATCGCTCTCTCCCCTCTCCTTAGCATTACTCCCCGCAGCGTTTACACTGCCATTGGGCATGAGCGCCCTCTCTCTCTCTCTCAATCTCTCTCTCTCTCTCGCCTCGCTGCACCAACGAAGGCAGCGTCTGCTAGCCAGTTTCTTGACTAAAAAAAAAAAAAAACCCTTCCTGCTCGTGCCGCACAACCGTTCACTGGCCACGCTGTATATTTAGGCACTGGATATGGACCTTCAACGTAGTGCTGGTGGGAGATTTCTCCTGTGCGTTGCAGAACAATTAAAATTTGCAGCATACGCGTTAACTAAAAACAGACTGTGGGTCTCTGTGTTCATTCGGAATCCTGTGTGTCTTACTGCCACAAGCAGCGATTGGCATGTTCCAGTAAGACACATCGGTCCTTCATTGGGTGCGTCACTCCTCCCCAGGTTTTTCCACTGCGCAACACCGCGATGAGCGCCAGCGTCGACGTCGCCGCCTGTGTGCGCGTTAGCACGCGCTGCTTCGCATCTACACATTGACACCGTCCTCTTTTTCTCTTTCTATCACATTTGTTTCTCTCCCTTACTACCCATCCCCCGTCTGGCGTTGTTGAGGTGACCTCTTGAAAGATCACCTCAACAACGCCGCATTTTTCTCACAGTTACGACGCCACATTTTCCCCTTCAATTCCCTTTAAAAGCCACTTCGAGGATGCGAGGGCGCGGGCTGAAAAAAACTGACGATGGATGGATGGATGCTATGAGCGTCCCCTTTATAACGGGGTGGTGGCAAGTATGCCACCAGGCTCGACAAAAAAAAAAAAAAAAACCTTTTTTTCTTTTTTTTTATGTTGGCCTAATGCCTCTACTTCGATAAATTTTATCTTAATGGAAAAAAGGTAAATTTTCAGCTTAAGTTCTCTGCCATTTACGGCACACTGTCCATATTTTATTTTTCCAATATTTATTTTTGTCCTTTCTCTCTAATTTTCTGCCACCAATACTCTAACCGTCTCTTACTTATTTCAATCGCGGGTGTGTTCAGCTTTCCATTGTTGTCCCTAAAACCCAAGGCTTCCTGTAGGCTCGTGCCCAAACGTACACCTGGGTGGATATCTCCACATTCAATCAGAACATGCTCCGCCGTTTCCTTATCTTTCCCGCAGCATGTGCATTGTTCTTCTTCTTTACTGAATCTTGCTTTATAACTACGCGTTCTAAGGCAACCCAATCTCGCTTCAAACAGTAAAGCGCTTCCCCTTGAATTATCGTAAAATGCCTCCCTCCTTATTTCATTTTTGCCCTTTCGGTAGTTACTCAAAGCCGGTTTTTTCTCCATAGCTGCCATCCAGTAAATCCTCTCCGCCTCCCTGACTTTTCCCTTAACGCTCTTTGTTGACATATGGCTCACAATACCAGCCGTATATTTACTAGTGAGTCTTCTAGTTCTTTTTCTCCACTGTGTGTCCACGCTCTTTCTATACAAATAACTGAACACCTTCTCTGCCCATCTACTCTCCTTCATATTTCTTAGCCTTGGGTGGCGCCTTGGGTGGCGCCTTGGGTGGCGCCTTGGGTGGCGGCGTGCCATCTAGTGAGCATTGCTGGAATCACCGCAAGGCTACCTTCAGCAGTGACCGTAGAACTGTACATACTGGCAACACTTGTGTACACGCCAGCCGCCGCCGTTGGACAAGCCGCGAGCGAAAGAAGCAAGTTCCTTAACGTGTTGGCATGCGAAGCGTCTGGCGAACAACATTATATGGGTGACCAATACTTTATTCCAGAGTACCCCAGTACGGCGTGCCTCCTAATTCGACCATGGTTTTCGCACGTGAAACCAAGCCACTTAAATAATATGAAGTAAATTTTCATCTTAGTAGCCGGTCTAGAAATGGTTAACTTCTCACAACTTCCGCCTATTTCTTCTTCCTAATTCCCACGGATAACGACTTTGGCGCGTGCACAGCGAAAGTAATAAAATCAGAAGCCGTGCTCACATACTGCGTTTTCTCACCTGGGCATACGCCGTGAGCAGCTGTGTTCTGTATGAGAACAGCGAGCTCTGCCGGAACATTTACAGAATGCTACCCTTGGACGTGCAGTTACAGGAGCACATGGGATCTCTGAAACTACTCGTTGACATTTTAAGGTAAACAGCGCGAAAAACAAAGACAGAGAAGTAGGAAGACACTGGACGAGCGCTCATTCATCAATCCGTCCATGCTTCCGACACAGGACAGCGCTCGTCCTGTGTCTTCCTACTTCTTTGTCCTCGTTTTTCGTGCAGTTTACCTTAAAAATGAATTGTTACCAACATGCCCGATTTTCAATACTACTCACGCACGTCGCTACAGCCTCGGATCACTTGTGCACGCAGGCATTACCACTCGATGGAAGTGTTCGCTCACTACGACGTAGTTGACCCAGCCGGACAGCGCGTGGCAGAGGGACACAAGGCAAGCTTCTGCCTCGAAGACAACGTGTGTGAACCTGGAGTGGACAAGCGCTACAACTGCGCGAACTACGGTGACCAGGGAATCTCCATCGGCTGCACCGACACCTACGCGCACAACATCGACTGCCAGTGGGTCGACATGACCGATGTGCCTCACGGACACTACACTCTCAAGGTGTGCGTTAGCGCGTGTAATTAGCACAATCATTCATCACACACATGCGTGCGTTACATTCTAAATGAAACGCACTTTTTGCGCAGAACATTTGAAAAAAAAGGGCAAGATAAGAGAGACAATGCATCCTGTCTGACTTCTTTTCTCAGTACTGCATATGACAGCGCACATAAGGTTACACAAACTAGAGATGCATTGACCTCGAAAAGCAACACCGACAATTTTTCGAAGGTCAATGGATCTCGGTAAAATTCACTCGTTATGTTTCTCTGCACATTACCGTCTTGCATGCCAAATTCAGGCTTGAGAGGTGTTCTGATTGTTTGCAAATGCATTTTAAAGATTACCTCAATATGGCTCACCTGGCTTGCCAGCAACACTGTGTGTCGTGACGTTTGGCATGTCGATGGAAGTGACAAGGCCAATGGCATCGCTAAGTTTTGCCGCTGCAGCATTTACTGTACTGGCCACAAGGCGACGGTGGTGGGGCTCGGCGGTGTTTTTTCTTCCTATGTGGTGTCTGGTAGTTCTTTGCTAATTTGGCGCTCGATTTTCTGTTTCCTGTGAATGGGTGTGCGACAGGTAGTTATCGGTGTTGAGTTGTTGGCTGCACAAACCACTCAAACAAGACGCAGAGTGTTTGCTATCGCGGTCACGATCACAGCTTGCCACGTGACAATGCCCTCCGTGAGAAGCGGATCAGTGTGATCAGGCGCGACAACTGGTTGACGAGCAAAACGGCGCGCGTGCGTTCTGTTTAATTCTTGCCAGAGTCCTATCAGCCCATCAGGACCACGTTTTTTTTATGGAAGCTTTTGGGTTGTAATTCGTTTAGTAATCCCAGTAGAGCAGGAATCTGTTGGCAACAAACATTCTTGTCGGTGCGCGCTGGTCTGCAGTCACCACAACTGCACCAGCGTAGCAACGTCATGCTCCTTCATGTAATAAGAAAACAGTGACTCATAATCCACAGGTAAGACGCTAAATCACGATGTCGCACTATCAGTTGCTCGGCTTGTTCAGCGATTGGCCCTCGGGGTGGTGGGGCGAACGAAAAATCACAGCATGTCCACGGAGGGAATGATAATGAATGGGGTGAAGCGTCCATCAGTCCGTTCATGCTTCCGTCCATCCATTCGTACTTGTTTCCGTCCAGCCTTGCGTCCATTTGTGCAACCGTCCGCGCACCTGTCCATTCGTGCGTCCGTCCATACGTGCGTCCGTCCGTGCATCCATTCATCCATCCATGCGTTCATCGATCCGTCCATGCGTCCCTCCGTCTTTCCGTCCATCTAGTGAACACTCCAAGTATCGCCATTTCGCAGCTTTTTATCATATAGTCATCATATAGTAGTACCACCAATCAGCGGACATTTCAAAGACTTAAAGAGAGGTGACTACCTACTACTAATATTATTACTACAAGAACTACCACTACAAACATAGGGGACGCACTACGCACGGCTTAAGGAGCTTCGCCCCAAAAACGGTGAGGTAACGGCACCATTTGCAACCGAGTCGCCGCTGTCCGACAGCTCTGATACTTTGTCAGTTTCGGACATGTTAGTTGACGCTCGGTGCGCTCACCTCTGCTCTGAGCGTCTGCTCGATCTGGTATTTACAGTTTTCATACACCGCGCCGGCCGGACCAGCTTGCCTTATACAATTTCTGGTTCCAGGTTCCTACCAAACGTGACGTCATACGTAGAGTGTGCTCAGTTGGGTTTTGGTTTTGATTGATTGATTGATTTGTGGGGTTTAACGTCCCAAAACCACCATATGATTATGAGAGACGCCATAGTGGAGGGCTCCGGAAATTTCGACCACCTGGGGTTCTTTAACGTGCACCTAAATTTGAGCACACGGGCCTACAACATTTCCGCCTCCATCGGAAATGCAGCCGCCGCAGCCGGGAATCGAACCCGCGACCTGCCGGTCAGCAGCCGAGTACCTTAGCCACTAGACTACCGCGGCGGGGCAGGTTTCGGTTTTGGTATTTCGAATTTTTGATTAATAAAAAAATTATTCTCAAACTTGCTGAGCATTTCAGCTATCGCGCAAAACCACCATTACCTGACGTGGTTAAAAATTGTCGGAGTTGGCCTGTAAAGCGCTAATCATATTACGACCACAGTCGGACACAACTTTAGAAGCCCGCGTCCTTTCCTTCTCAAAGGTGGACCAATTGGCTGCAGTCCAGGCTGACTAGAAGAGCTAGACGGCTAGCGAACCCACCCACAGAGAACAAACATTGTCAAGTGCATGCATGAGCTGCTCTTTTTTCTTCAACAGTGGATGCCATCGGCGGTCGTGCTTCGGCTCCAGACTTCTTAAGTTGTATGACCATAGAGAGGGTGTCCCACGTAGCCCCGCCGCGGTGGTCTAGTGGCTAAGGTACTCGGCTGCTGACCCGCATGTCGCGGGTTCGTATCCCGGTGGCGGCGGCTGCATTTCCGATGGAGGCGGAAATGTTGTAGGCTCGTGTGCTCAGATTTGGGTGCACGTTAAAGAACCCCAGGTGGTCGAAATTTCCGGAGCCCTCCACTACGGCGTCTCTCATAATCATAGGGTAGTTTTGGGACGTTAAACCCCACATATCAATCAATCAGGGTGTCCCACGTAACTTTAGCCAGAGTTTTAAAATATGCCGGAACATGTAATTACGACGCGACCCCATTGCTTGTTGTTCCCCATTGCCTTGAGTTAGTCCGACAATTTTTTGTGTTCTCAAATACTGTTTAATTAGATAAGTTTCATTAACTAATTTTTCAAGAACCAAAGATAGATAAGAAATTTCTATGTGAAAGTAGTAGATCGGTTCGCAAAACGTCCGATTAGATGGTTTTGAACTTTATATCTGTTAGATGCTAGTGTTTTTCTGCTAATTACAAATGCCCGCGGAATACCAAAAAATGCCACGTGGCAAACCCGCTCGTGCGCCAGTACGCACAATGGTTCTAGTGCTCCTTAACGTTCCGCGTACGAACGACCATAGCATTTGCCCCGTTGTGCTGTCTCGGCAGGGCTGCAACGATGGCGGTAGCTTTCCGGTGAACACGTTTTGCTGTCGGCCACAAAAACGATAACCGCTGTGACTGATTATCGCTGTCATGAAGTGGTGCGAGGGAAGCGTGTAGTTCGTACGCGGAACTTTAGGGAGTTCTAGAATCATCGTGCGCACCACGGATGACCTAGTTTGTCACGTTGTTTTTATTTTGTATATCACGGGCATTTGTAACTCGCAAAAACACTAGTATTTAACAGATGTCAAGTTCAAAACTATCCATTTAGATGTTTTGCAAACCGATCTACAACTTTCTCGTTTAACTTTTTTATCCATCTTTGTTTCTTCAAAAGTTATTTAATTAAACAGATTCAATTAAACAATACCTGAGAACACAAAAATTAGTCTGACAAACTCCAGGCAACGGTGAGCAACATGCAATTCTTTGTGTCGTAATTACGTGTTCCGGCATATTTTAAAAACTATGGTTAAAGTTACATGGGACACCTTGCATTGAAGACAGATTTGCTTACTAAATCTAGTTTTCTTAATTCCTCACAACCAAAAATCACTTCTTGTCTACAAGAAGAAATTTACAAACTACGCACTTTTGTTTGGTATTACAAAATTTTGTTTTTGCCTGTGAAATCTTGAGTAACTTTTCCACAATAATTGATATTCATTACGCCATTATGATCGGGCTTCTGAATCGGCTTTCTTTGTCAGTGGTAGATTTGGGGCGTTAGGTGAAAACTTACCATCATCTATATTGCGACACAGGGCGTGCAGTAAAGTTTCGATAACAATATGCTACTTCTGGATTCGTTGACTGCAGTCACCAGATGCGGCTTTGAGCATCAACTATGCATCAATGAGCGCAAGAAATCCTTCTTTTAACATGCGCTTTACGTACGGATGAAAGTACACTACTTCGTGTCTTTCAGTTCGTTAAAAATTATTTGACTACGCAGGTGTCCATCAACCCGGAATACAAGATGGCCGAGATGAGCTACGACAACAACGCTGCTGTGTGCGACCTCATCTACACGCAGACCTACGCTGCGGTCACAAACTGCACTCTTGGAAGGCCGTAAACTTGCGGCCACTACGATCAAGGCTCCTTGCCTAAGAGAAAGAGCATCTCATGAAGCGTCGAGATGGAAGTGAAGGCGCCAAATTTTGCGTTCAGATTCCGCCTACTTACCATGGTTGACCCACACACCTTTCATTGCTTCATGCTGTGCTAAAATTTATAGTAACTTTGTTCACGGCCAGTTCAAAGAAACGGGCACTTGAAAGCTCCGACGCTTTTTTCTTCTGATTCTTTTGAGTAAGAACGATTCCATCACCTAAAGCCACCAGGTCTGACAGACAGCACCTTCATAACGACGAATTGGTGAGCGACCGTAGAGCGTGGTCCGTGTGCACGACTCAAGGCATCAGCGCTTCACTAGAGTGGCTGAATTGTTCTATGGTATCCATATGTAGATGTCTGATCTGCACGTAACTCACGGAAGAACAATCCCCCTCCATGATACACGATAGGGTATCGTCAGAAATTCGGGTCAATGCAATCGCGTGAGTCGACGTTCGTGAGGACATTTGGATATGAGACGCCCGGTGCCCTGGTATGCAAGAAGTCAGTCCTAAGAACTACGCTGCAGTATTGGCGGCAAATATTGCGTCTAAAAGTGTGCCATAGCGCTCCTGATGTGACGAACTTTGGCTTTTAGTAGAGACACGGACGTCGACTGAACGCTGCACCACTGCGCGATGACTGTAAGCTTGTAAATTTACTGATATGATTTATACATCCCCAACCCTCTTAATAGTTTTGTAGGTGTTTCATTTAAACTTGCTCTTTTTTCAACCGACTTGAGCCAAATTTACGTTCAATGCTTACATGTGACACAAGCTCATAGAAACGGCAAATCGATCATACTGTTTTTTTGCTGTACCTCCTTATGCTAGGGTTTCAGTGTATTCTAAGCTGATACTGCGTTCTTCATCTAAGAAAGAATTTAGGGTCTGCAACAGCCTCATCCATATTCCCTTTTGTCTCTCGTGTATATTAAAGATTATCTGCTTATCGTTTCTAAAATTTTAGTGGCGTTCAGTTACTTCAGTCACTTTTGATGCTCCAGTTACGTTCATGACGCCCCCGTGTTTTTTTATATCTGGTTTATGCTTTCTGTTTAAAGTACAATTCTAATTTTGTAGGCAAACGCAAGCAAGTACCGTCTGCGTCAAATGAGACCCAAACAGAGGCAAGCCTTCGCTTTGGTATAGTGCGCGCCATTCATTTATCGTGATCGACAAGCGCGAACATCCTCTTCGGCAGCCCTACGCATATATGCATGCCTGTCCATGGTGATAAGTGGACGGCACGCGCTATACAATCATGGAGGCTTGCCGCTGTTCGGGTTTCATTTGACGCAGAGAGTACGTGTGATACGTTTGCAGTCGGAGTGAGAATATGCTTCGCTGTAGAAAATGAAGACCACCAAGGTAGACGGACGGCTGAATTCCCATACATTGATGCAAACCGGAAGCTTCCTATTGTAAGCTAGCGGTGTAAACTGCGCTGCCGATGAGACTTCAGTGCCCTCCCGTGTGCGCTAAACGAAATAAAGATAAAAGAACGTCACATGGCGTGCTCGTTATTTAATTTGTCTGTAACTCATAGGCATATATTATATTAGAAGATACTGCTAAAAGCCTGGGTACCCATAAGAGATACTGGCTAAATCCTCGAAAAGTGTGAGCGAAAAACAAAAAAAAAACACAAGAGACAATAGAACACGACGCACTTGATAATCCTAAGCCGTGACTTATGTGTATTGTAGTGCGCGATGCTCCAAAGTTCTCAGCAGTCTTTCATTCAACTTATGCCAATATTTTAAAATTATGAGAACACCTTGAGTTTCACGTGCCAAAGTAACAATATGACTATCATATACAAGGTGTCTCAGCTAAAAAGCACAAATCAATAAAAATTAAAAACGAGTGCTACGCGTCGTAATTTTTATATACTGACTCCAGAGAAAGATTTCAATTCAAGACTTGTAGTTCTTATGCAAAAATAACAAAACTTTTAGGTTATGTTAAGATAACAACGCTGGTTATTTCTTTCCAGGGTTCATTTAAAGTGCGCGAAATTAAAAAAAATACCGCATGATTGCCGCCTAACGCGCGGCACTTTGAGTGCACTCAAAAATAAGTTTATCGAATTAGCGAAGGCTTCTCAGGCACAAAGGTGGCTTCAACAGGCTGTTGGTGAGTACGATGGACAATAAGCGATGGTTAGATGGTACCATTAAAGAAAAGGGTGGGGGGCGAAAGAAATAAACGAAGACAAACTTCGACGAAAAAGCTACTGCCACGTACACTGCGATACGAGACCAGAGGAAGCATTTGGAGCAGCGGAGAGGGTGTTTTTTCTTTTTGGGCCAACTATAAACATGATGGTGGGTGAGAGGGTGACAATTTTATAAAGAAAGGATATCAAAAGCACGATGGGAATGTGTTGTGCGCAGTTTTTTTTTTTTGCACACGCTGCGACAAGGAAAAGTCTTATTCTAGAACGACGCGTTTCCCTATTAAACAGAGTTTTATACAGTAATACCTAGAGTGGAATCTAGCGCTAGTGTCTACGCGGGCTCTTTCAGCGGCACTTGTAGCCGCATGGGAATGATGGGAAGTACAGGCTTCGGATCTGCTTCAGATGGATCACGTTCTTGAGATTCGCGATGCGTCTTTTCCGAGTGTGAAACAAAGTTATATGAAGTCATGTTAAATTGAGAGTTGCTTCATTTTTGTACGCAAACTTTGTTGCAAACAGTTCTAGTGACTAGGCAGTAGAAGTGAAACCTAGACAAATTTAACCACCAGGGTACGCATTGCTCTACCATAGCGTTCCAGATTTGGCAACCAGATGTAATGAATCATTGTTTAGAACATTTCTAAACAAGCACTCTTGGTTTGTCCTCGAATATACGCAATATCAATTTATGGAAATAACAGCACAGTGTTAAGTGAGAGATACTTAAGGTTTTGTCTGTTGCGATGCCAGGTGTGTCTGTTCAAGTCGAATCACAGAAGCGTGATGGTGCGTGTACTTCGTGTCGCCGTCATTTTGCAGTCGATTTCAACGAGTTTTGGCAAGACGCACTAACAACAAACGTGAACTCGATAAAATATCCTGCACTGGCATGGGATGCTACGTCTATGCGCAACGATGAGTGGACGACGCTTCGCTTAAACTGTCAAACACGACTTATACAGCTCCAGCGTTGAATGCAGTAAATTGAGAGGCCTGGCAGTTTTAAGCTTCTTGAACAACAAAGGCGCAGCTTCAGTCCTTTGCACCCTCTCCAGTACCCACTATACGCAAAGAACGAATATGAAACTGCAGAAAAAAATCCGTAGACAGTTGACTGGCTAACGCGATCCAATCTGAAGTCTGTACTTCCAATAATTCCCATACGGGTACACAATCGCAGCGCCAGATTCCTCTCAACGTATTATTGTATGAAAAACTGTGCTAATAAAAAAAGTGCGAACATGGTTCTCGCCCTCAGCCGAGCGAAGAAAAACAGGAAAGAGGCAGCAAGACTATTTCGCAGATGGCACCCAGGAATTCGGGTAAATAGTTCGACATTAGTGCAAAATTACGAAACGCTCAAGGAAACCGGAACGTTCAAAATGCAGCGTCAGCGCACAAAAAGTGTGACTTAGCCTCTTAAAACAGACATTTTTGCTTACATGGCAGCCAAACATCACGCAAGCGTGCGCGACGTTAGTGCTGAGAACGGCGTTTCCAGCAGTAGTGTTTGGCGCCTACTCAAGAGCGGAGGACTTCAGCCATACCATGTTCGCCTGCATCAACAGCTGGAAGACACAGATTTGCAAAACCGTTTTGACTTCTGCAACTAGGTAGCCATACAGGAAGAAGGTAATCCCGGCTTTCTGAAGAAAATAATCTGGTCTGATGAAGCTCGCTTCTCGCGCAATGCCCAAGTCAATGTTCACAATGCTCATTACTAGAGCACTACAAATCCTCACTGGCAGTGGCAGTTAGAACACCAGGTGCAGTAGTATATCAATGTTTGGTGCGCCAGTTACGATGGCAAAGTTATTGGCCCAGTTTTTTTTTTGATGGAACACTCACTGCAGAACGCTACATCAGCAAAACACTAAATGACTCACTGAGTGACTTCACCTGTAACCTCCCTATAGCACAGTTTGGGAATATCTAGTTCCAGCAAGACGGTGCTCCTCCGCACAGCTGTGCGCAGACTTGAACGTGGCTTGATAGAGAATTTCTCGAGAAATGAATCGGCCGCCTTGAACCTGTAGAGTGGCCCGCAAGGTCCCTAGATTTGACTTTGTTAGATTTTTTTGTGGGGATACATTAAACAATAAAGTTTGTACAGCGTGAACTCAAGACAGAGATACGGCACTCTAAGCCAAAAAACAGCCGAAATGGGAGCAACGGCAGCTTTTAGTCTTTCAGGCCAACTGTTACTCCCCGAATCTACGAAGCGGAACAAGATGGCTGACATGTTTGAAAGCGGGGGAGCAACTGCATTAGTCCTAAGTTTGTGAGAGTGCAACAGAAGGAGGAACCACAATAAATACTCTCGTCACGCAACAGTTACTCCCCTGAACGACACCACGCACAAATATACATGCCACCCACATTGATGTTCATGGGCCAGATTATTGTTTGTTCTGTGTGCTAAACTTCACCAAACCAAAACAGTGATTCATTTTAGCATCCGCAGATAATAAAATAGCAGCGCTGGCTGAACACAGAAGGCCTGAGAATTCCTAGCTAACGCAAGTGCCCAACACAAGCAGCAGCATATAGTTCGCACGTCAAAGCGCGGACGAAACGCCGAAACACGTGCGAAACGAGGATAATAAAAAAAAAGCCTAGACGCGCCGTTCTTCTGCTATAGGGAAGGGCATCAAAGCAGATCAAACACCCAAACACGTGGAAAACTAGGCCTCAAAAAAAAAAAAAAAAACACCGGAGGAAAAAAAGCAGACCCCGACCCCCAGACGCACCGTTCATCTGCCGTAAAACTTAATAGCACGCTTTAACGTGTAGTTTGAAGGGCAGAATGACAGATTTGCGCCATTTGCGCCCGCACGACAAATGTGGCGCAAATATAGCATGCGATGTACTTTACAAAGTGCTCATTATTCAATATTTATGTGTACTATTATGTAAATTAAAAACTCTAACTCAATTTTTATTTAATATTATTGAGTTTTAGTATACCTAAGTTTCTCATAAGTGCATTAGAGCACACTAAAAGCATTGCGCCGACACCTGTTCTGCCACCACCTGACGTTTTTTTTTCGGCGGAATTAGGTGGTTCGCGTTCGCACTACTCATACTGATATGGTTTGTGGTCGGTGAGCACAAGGACAGGATAGCTGATGTTTTATGTTTTGATCATGCATGTGTGTCACAGATTCACGTTTCTACTTATTCGTGATGGAGGTTAATTAGTGTATCTTTTGAGAGCGCAGAATGGTTGTAGATTTCGCTCCTGATTAGAACAAACACAACGTAAACACGTCTTCAGCTATCTGCAAACCTGTTCGCTCGTTGGACAAAATACTCGCATGCATCTATTTGCAGGTGAGTGGCACATCCATCTACATTAAATGCTCTTACAGTGTGGGTAATTGCCGTCTAACACTGGTTGTGGCGTTTTCAAACCCCCAAACTTATCATTGTGCACAGCTTGGGAAAAGTGTTCAGTTCTTAAACAGCTGACTTATTGTTTTTGTCTCCAAATACATTGTTGAGCGGTTGCGCTATCAAAAGAGAAATGATTTGCTCTTGCTCATTCACTGTATTCATTGCTAAACCTATCGAACTGAATTACCACAGATATTACCACCTGCATACCCTCTTGCTGCCTCTGTCACCACTTTAGTGGCAGTGTGCCTTTGCTGTAAAAAGTTCCTTTCTGCAATAATACATAGTTCGGAAAAAATAACATTGCGGTGGAGTTGTTGCTGCCCTAATACTTGTACTTGTCTGCCATTGGCTTTATGTAACGTTAGCGGCTGTGTGTTGGGGCCTTCGGCCGAATTCTTTAGAGCAGAAGTGTATTTAGACCAGTAAGTCAAGAAATTATTTTTTTGCATCACTTCAGTGGCATAGCCAGCTGGTGGAACACGGAATTTTTTTGGGCCGGGCGTAGAGAGCCCAGTATGACCCTTGACCATATTTGCCTTCCCGACCTTCAGTTCAGATGAGCGGAACCCCCCCCCCCCCCCTCCCCCTGCTTCAAAAAAATTCTTTCTACACCACTGCGTCACCTGCTTCACCTCTACGCTGAATTTAATATTTTAAAAGGGCACCATCAAACGAGCACTTCACATATGGAGAGGACAGGGTGAGGAGAAAATGACCCAAATTTTTCAGATTTCTTCAGTGATGCAAGAACTTCACAAAACTGAATATTATGAACATCAATCATAAATACTGTAGGTTCACGCTAGCGTTGTCATTATTTTGTAGCATGAAATCTGTATGTGCTGTGAAAACTTGGCAAGCCGTTTGAGTCACATTTTGACCTCAATACCAATCGACGAAAATTTCGACAATCTCATTAACGATGTTT